AGTAACTCACAATAGGATCGATTGCGGCGCGAATGTGACGTACGTACATGCCTCCGTCTAATGACAACGGGTAGGGGGAGTGAAAAAATGTTCGCTGAGAGAGAGAAGCAGCCTGTTCTTCTAGCATCTGTGACAAATACGACATACGCCTCCTATGACACTATTTGTCATAGGAAGATTCTTCCTATGACAAATATTGTCGTATGTGTTGTGCGCATCATAGGAGTTTATGAGCGCTATTGTTGTACTGTGCTGGGGTCTGTTCTCTGGGGTTAGCTCGATTAATGCCAGTTGCACAGTCCTCAAATCAATCTATAAAGTCGGCAGCGACGGTATGACGAAGAGTTTTATTATGTACAGTTTATACCATACACATACACATGTAAATCATTAATACGTATATTAGAAAAGAAGTCAGTGGAAGTGAGTTTCATCGCGTCAAATATTACTACGTGTTACTAACAAGTACGATTTACGCGAGAGAAATACGTAAACGTAAATCATTAATACATGCAATATAATACTAGTAAATACAAGTAAATTAAGTTTGTCTAAGTTCGTCAAATATTACAAGCATAGCAAGTACGATAACTTGAGAGAAATACAAACATATTTACCTATAAAGTCGGCGGCGACGGTGTAACGAAGAGTGCTGGTGCGTCGGATACGGTTTATATGATGGCAATGCGAAACCGCATTTAGCAGAAACTATTTTGGCGGGACCAGTAAGCGATGCTGTCGCGCCCGCTTACCGCCGCCGCGCGTCGCGTCACCTACTCTCAGGCGCGAGGTGAGAGCGCCACCGCTATTGTCACAAACACTAAGCGTCGAATCATCTGGCCGTCAACGCTTGCCGACCACAACACTGGCTCGCCCGTCATTGTCCGTCGCCGCCTGCTGATTACAATACTATTATGAATGCAAGCAGTGAATTTCAGCTGTAAAGCGGAATGAAGTTGACTCGCCAATATTTGTCATAGGAAGAATCTTCCTACGACAAATAGTGTCATAGGAGAGCGTATATGCGTATGTCGTATTTGTCATAGATGCAAGCAAAACATGTTGCGAGAAGGCGAGAGAGAGAGAGAATGAGAGAGAGATTATGTGCCGTATGTTAGCGCATTCTGATAAGATAAAAATCGAAGGTAATCCTCCCGTTATTCTGCTCCTCACACGTTCCGTCATCGATCGCTGAGAAGACTTTCGTGCGCGTTTCACTCTTCGATTTTTTCGACATATAATTCCTCTGCAGAGTCGGCAAGCGCATGCATAGCCTCGACGATTCAATGCGTCAGCAGAATTCTATATGTTAAAGTTGAAATCTTTCGCTGACATTTAGAATGCTTTCAGAATGTTTCGAATAGGATTTGGCAATAAAACGTATCTGGAGGATATAATTATTACTACACCGGTAAGCAATCGTCCCTTTTCACTCGGCTCTAACGCCTTGTTTACAAAAGGCGCGCGAACTAAAATTCACGCAGCTCCCGTCCCACTCGTTCTTTCTCGCACTTTGGCGTAAAACACAGCAAACTGATGCATACGTGAATCAGAAAGGAGGTTATCGATAATATTAATCATCGATAGGCTAGATGGTTTATGTTGAGTGATGCGCGACTTGTTTAATTTTATGGCGCTATGTCTAAAGCTCAGCTTCTGCTCTATAGAAATTTAGGCATATTATTACCTGTTCATATGTTGCGTTTTGAGCATATAGTAGCCTAAAGGTTGGTACGAATTTGCTAATAGGATCGCTTGAAAGTATACTGATGGCCCTAACACGTAAATGGCATGTTTGTTGACACTAATATCATTGTAGTATATATCATAAACACTGAATATTGTAGAGATAAAATGTAAGTAAGGAGACCTATGTATATAGTTATGTACACACACACACACACACACACACACACACACACACACACACACACACACACACACACACACACACACACACACACACACACACACACACACACATCACACACACACACACACACACACACACACACACACACACACACACACACACACACACACACACACACACATAATCATATTTTTGTTGAATATGTTAGCGATGTATTGATTACGTCTGTTTCGTTCTGGGAATTGGGAAAACACATTGTCTTCTTATGCGCACAAAATCTATACCGGGGAAAATTTAATAACATCGACGGGCTTTGTAGGCAAATTAATTATCTCTATGTGCCAAAGCCGCTAACAGAATATTCTTTGCACCCACTGCAAAAGATAGTGAGTTGGTAACAAATTAAAGTCAGAAGTATACACCTTACCCACCTGCCTGCTAAATGCCGTAAAACCTGTGCTTACGCGAGAAACATTAACTGATATTACCACGTGTCGAATTTTAACCCAAAAATCAAGGATATATGAAACGGTTGACGTTGACCCATGCAGGCGTTTAGATAGTGTCACTGCCTGGATATTACTTGCCAACAAAATTATTCTAGGGATGGATTAATCGCAGGTATGCGTCTCTTGGGAGTCTTTGATATGAATATCAAAGGTATTCTTTAGCTGTAAAGTAACAAGAATGAGCAAACGATGTAGGCCAAACACAGCCAAAGTGAGTCTAGACCTAGTAGACTTGCCATACTTCCGTGCCAGAGCCAGACTCCTTACATAACCGGGAAATGCTAATGAAGTGAGATCTATTCATCGTTCCAATAACAATAGTGATCGTCGCGGAAATGGCTTCATGGTGGTGGCAGGCCAGCAATTCCATATTAAGGTCTGTTAATTTTATGATAACTTGATCATTCCCGTTCCCGGAAGCATTGTGCACATGCAGAAACATACTGGCGCTAGCTTCTTCACGATTGTTACAATGTCTATACTCGCAGCAACGCCATCATCCACAGGAATCGGGTGGATACAATTGTCTCTGCGACGTAAAGTGTGAGCGTTTCATAGCATAGTCCTGATTGTGTAAGAACTCAGGGCACGATGCTTCAGCTGCTGAAAGTATATCCTCTTCGTTATCACTCGACCATCTCTACATTACTTGTCTCTCTCGGTGCTCTTTATTGGGATGTTAGAATACTGGTCTGGTACTACGTTTATTCTCGTTGCATCACTTTTCTGTAACTGGATTCCACACAGTACAATTTCTGTCAGGCCAGAAAAACACTGAATAAGGCTGGCTAGAATTAACAGTGTGGAAAAGGCGCCTATGATGACGCAAACGAACAGCAGGAAAACTCCAAAAGCCTTCACGTGATCCTTGAAATGAATGTAAACAATTATTATAGACATATTTGTTTTTGCCAAAGAATCATAAAAAACAGCTCCAAAGATCAGGGAGGAGGACACCAATTAAGCTCGTTGTTCACAGTTTTAGTAGATCCTTCTGTAACAGCTGTCCTGTTCGATAGATGATAAGCGAGGTTATTATATACTCCCAGAATTTCGTTTACGATTTGAATATTTTATTGCTCATTATGCAAAGTTATATTTAAAATTTGTGGATTGACTGGAAGAATATTATAGAAAATATTGAGGGAATGAACTCGATTTTTACTTACGCCTTTAAGAGCCGGACTTTTTAACCCCTGAATATTGACACATTGACTCTATCGAAAAACTAAATCCTAAATGTAGCTCACCCGGATCTTCCCATGGTTATAGTTGAATTGTTAGTATACCATAATGAGAAGATAAAGGGAACAGTCGATGATATTTTTCTAACCTCAATTATATTAAGACAAATGTCACTTTTCAAGTCTTTCTTACTTCGAGCACAGATTTCATCTCAAGACAACAGCCAGATTAATAAAATAACGGTAAAGCAATAAAACATATACGATTGAGCTTTGATTTTATAGCGATATCCCATGTGGAGCTACGACAGCCACATCGCAGAATTTTGCTCATGTGCTATCAGGACTACACTGTGCGACTGTGCGATTTTGTAGAGTTGCAGCGGCGCCCCACAGCGGCAAAGAGAGTTAACGCTCAATCACTAAGCAGTGCGCGCGCCGTGTTTATATGATGAGCGACGCAACACGCTCTTAACCGCTGAAGCCTGCATGTCTGAAATTACGATAATAGCAACGCTGTTGTCCTGCCATAGTCGTTTCATCATCTGCGGCATCGCTGTGACAGTAATCTATTAATAGGAAGCGTGTGCAGGGAACTAGTCAATTATGTTCCCATTAACTGTCATCGCCTAATTATTGTTATTATTGTCGCAAGCATTTGCTAATTAGGTTAACAGCTAGGGGTTTGCATAGTCGGTACGTAGGCAAGAACGCACACACCCACACAGACATCTAGTCACCCGACCACCGACCTATACACACACGTACGCACGCACACGCATGCACGCACACGCATACAAGCGCGAGCGCGCGAGCGCGTACATCCGTACATACATACATGCATGCATGCACGCACGCACGCACGCACGCACGCACGCACGCACGCCGAACACACACAACACACAACACACACAACACACACACACACACACACACATACACACAACACACACACACACATACCACACACACACACAACACACACACACACACAGCATACATAACTACATACATACATCATACATACATACATACATACATACGAATTTTACACTGCCATTCAATATCTACTCTTAATTGTGCGTGTATGCCTGCGTCCCTACACAAGCGTGGATTTCTGTATTCTGCCACGTACCTATACGCGTGAGTAACGCGTTCGTCTGGACGCGCGCAGTTGTCACGCAAATTTAATAGAAGAAATGGCTACCTGCTATCACAACCTCATACTAGCAATTTGGCTTCAACGCGTTCTCGGAAACGATCTCATTTCTATTGTGCACATTCTTACGGTGTTCGCATTTTCTCGCGTTTGTTTACTATCTCGTTGAAACTCACGTGTTGCTATATATATAGACGGTGTACATTTAGTTATACCGCTCTAAGGAACTTATTTAGGCACGAATGTAGATAACTCACCCTTACATAAGTACTTACTATCGTCAGCTGTATCCCATATAAAAATAAATTCAATCCTCGAGAAAACTCTGAACGTTGGACGATTCTGGCACTAGGCATTCCCGTAAAGCATATATATCCGTAAGAAACACACATTATTTGCTCTCGAACACAATGTAGGATCCGATCATGCGGGCTGTTCTCAGACGCACTACTTAAAATAGCCATTGTAGCCGTTTGTAGGCACATCCTAGGCGACTGGAACGCGCTGTCATACTATAACTTCGTCCCTTTTCCGAATGTATCGCGATCAATCAGAGCACTTTGCCACGACCGCTGCAAGATGCATGCGCACGTTGCAGCAGCCGCGGTAATGATAATAAAAGTGATTGCAAGACAACTGCCACACACCACACGCGGGATACGTGCGTCGCCTTCTAACACGCGCGCACGCTCGCTCGCTCTCCCTCTCTATCTCTCTCTCACGCACACACACACGCGCGCGCGCGCGTACGCACACATGCATGCACGCACGCACCGCTCAACACACACACACACACACACACACACACACACACACACACACACATTCGCATACACACTGCGCGCGCGCGTACGCACACATGCCATGCCACGCACGCACGCCTCCCCCAACCCACACACACACACACAAACACACACACCACACACACATTCCATACACACAAAGCCACGCACACAGACAGAGACACGCGCACGCGTGCGCACGCACGCACGCACTCACTCACTCCTCCACACACACACACACACACACACACACACACACACACACCACACACACACATAACACACACACACCACGCACGCACACACGCACGCACACTCACTCACTAACTCACTCACTCACTCACATGCACGCACGTACATAAACGTACTTTTGTGCGCGTACTTTCGGCTTTCGTGAAATGAAAAACTCACAGAAATGAAAAATGAAAATAAATAACATAATAATGATAATTATTGTACACAATATTACCAGAGCTTTAGCCACACAAATACACTAAACATTTTATTGTATGTGTGGTTACATGTTTCGGTGCAATATATCCTCCTACAACATCGATATTGCAAATAGTTCAAGGACACATAGCGCTTTAGAAAAGGCGATATAGTAAACCATACCAGTAACGTTGCTAGTATTTTTCATACGCTAAACGGATTTCTTTTAATGGTAAATGATATTATTGTAGTTTAATTCTGAATATATTTCACCATCTACCGTATCTGGCCAGATGTCATCGTTTTGGTTTCGTAATCATAATCAGGTTCAAGTGAAATCTTCACTTACTTGACTCAGGTCTATCTATATGTTGACTAATATTGCAGCGACGTTACACCTAGATGTATGTAAATGCCGATCACCCATGAAATGTTGTATTTTATGTCACTCAAAGTAGAAATTATTTTGCCACCAAACCCGTGGTCGGTTGTATATCAGCTGCACATTATATCCAAAGCTATCAGGAGATTGGCAACAAGCATTGCTCATTTCACGCAAATTTGTTAGAACAAACGTACAAGTATGCCTATTTGCATGTAATTATGATTATGCAGTCCTCAGCTTTTATATGTACGGGACCTTAATTCAGTTCGTGAATTAGCTAGAACGTTATTTGGACTGTATCCGTAGTTGCCAAACTTGAGTTTACGCGTAGTTGTGCTGCACGTACGTGCAACATTCGTCTTGTTTGTGCAGTTTACTTGGCCGTATTTGAAGTTCCTCGCATGCAACTTCGGCTCGCTTGCCTGTTGCCGTCGGCGCTAGTGTAAGCCGTATGCTGGCGTCTGTACCGACGTACCTACCGTCTCGTGAATGCAGAACACACGTAGAGATATTCCAGATTTCCAGAGTACACCGCATGCACACACCGCGCCACACGACACACACACAACCAGCACACACACACAACACACACACACACATAACATATACACGCCACGCACACGAGACACACGACCTCGCCCCCCGCACGTCGCGCCCCCCCACACACACACACACACACACACTACACCGCCGCGCCGCACACACACACTGGACCTCAAACATCAACACGCACAACACTCCACAACGATACACACACACACACACACACACACACGACCCCCGCACACACACCACACACACAAACACACATATATATATATATGTATATATATATATATATATATACATATATACGAAGGCAACCACCAAACATCAATAAATAAGCAGAGCTTAGTAGTTACATTGATTTTTTGATGAACCAGACTCATCACAACAGTAGTCGCGTCGCATTGTCTTTCAGGTGAGTAATCAATTCAGGGGGTTATATCGATGTTCCACATTCTGACCTTTGCAAAGTAGTCTTTGTCACCCTGACTATGCAGGAAATTGATTGATGTCTGCATCAACTGCAAATGAGGGGGTACTTTCTAGAAGTAGCATTATATCGTAATTCTTGTTCATTTGTCTCTAGGTACCTCGAACTAATAAGCAGATGCAAGCATATGTGTACATCTATATACAAATGTCGTCGCATTACAAACTAAGTTACATGCTAATGCAGACAGAGACTTGTAAAATCAGTGCGTACGTCGTCTTACTTTACGATATTTTTAAAGGTTCGAAGTTATTTTTATGTCGCAAGATTACTTCTGCTTTGATCAAAAACGCGCAAAGATAGAAATCACGCGACAGTCACTACGGGGCGCCATGCAAGACAGGCATTTTTGTACCTATAAACTTGACAAAAATGAGTTTTGTAAACACAAAACTCAA